GCACATCGGAGTCTCAAAGCGGTTTACAATTGTTATTTTTGGGAGTGGGGGTGCCAGTACAGGAGGCACATGCCAGACCTATTGTACATATTTTTAGTGGTAGGGGAAACCGGAGCACCCGGAGGAAACCTACGCAGACACGGGGAGAACATGCAAACTCCACTCAGAAAGGCCCTGGTCCAACCGGGATTCATATATTCATATATTAGTGTATGTAAAGTATTCTAATATATATACATACATACACATATATGTATATATATATATATATATATATATATATATATATATATATATATATATATATATATATATATATATATATATATATATATATATATGAGAAAGAGTCTCAGGTATGAAAAACTGGACAGCACCTGGCCCTGATATGGTCCATTGCCTACTGGCTAAGGACACTCACATCACTCCATGAGCGCCTAGCAGCACAAATGAACCAGCTGCTGAGAGACAGGACTCACCCAGAATGGCTAACCGAAGGGTGAACGGTCCTGATCATGAAGGACCCTGTCAAGGGTGCAGTCCCCTCCAACTACCGGCCAATAACCTGTCTCTCCACAACATGGAAGCTCATGTCAGGCATCATTGCGGCTAAGATAAGTGGGCATATGGAACAATTCATGAGCACAGCACAGAAGGGCATTGGTAGAGACACCAGAGGAGCCAAACACCAGCTCCTGGTTGACAGAACAGTCGCCCAAGACTGCCGGTCACGACACACCAACCTGTGCACAGCCTGGATTGATTACCAGAAAGCCTACGACTCAATGCCACACACATGGATCATGGAATGCTTGAAGTTGTACAATATCAACAGGGCTCTAAGGGACTTCGTTGCAAACTCGATGGGAATGTGGAAGACTACCCTTGAGGCAAATGGCAAGCCATTTGCCATTTGCAGGTTGATGGCAGGCCTCAACCCTCTAAGCCAAGTAATTGACCAGACTGGCTATGGATACCGCCTCAGGAACGGAGCAAAGATCAGTCACCTCCTCTACATGGATGACATCAAGGCCAAGAGCGAGAGAAACATCGACTCTCTGATCCAAACAACCAGAATCTACAGCCATGACATCGAGATGTCATTCGGACTCGAGAAATGTAGCAGGATGGTGACTCGGAGAGGCAAGGTAGTCCACACAGAAGGGATCTCACTCCCAGAGGTTACAATAGCAGACGTTGAGGACAGTTACAAGTATCTCGGTATACCACAGGCAAATGGCAACCTCGAACAGGTGACGAGGAAAGCGGCAACTGCCAAATACCTCCAGCGAGTAAGGCAGGTCCTAAGAAGCCGGCTCAATGGCAAGAACAAGGCCCGGGCAATTAACAGCTACGCCCTGCCAGTGATCAGATACCCTGCAGGAATAATCAGGTGGCCAAAGGAAGAGATTCAGACCACGGATGTTAAAACTCGAAAGCTCCTTACCATGCATGGCGGGTTCCATCCCAAATCCAGCACCCTGAGACTGTACGTAAGCCGTAAAGAAGGAGGCCAAGGACTAGTGAGTGTGAGAGCCACTGTCCAGGACGAAACATCCAAACTCCATAACTACATCATGGAAAAGGCCAAAACGGATGACGTACTCAGTGAATGTCTCAGGCAGTGGTGAGATGAGGAGGTGCTGGAGGAGAGCCCATCATGGGAGAACAAGCCCCTACACGGCATGTACCACCGGAGCATAACAGAAGTGGCTGATCTCAAGAAGTCCTACCAATGGCTAGAAAGGGCTGGCCTATAGGACAGCACAGAGGCACTCATCATGGCTGCACAGGAACAGGCACTGAGCACCAGAGCAATAGAGGCCCAGATATACCACACCAGACCCGACCCAAGGTGTCGGTTGTACAAAGAGGCACCTGAGACGATCCAACACATAACTGCAGGGTGCAAGATGCTGGCAGGGAAGGCCTACATGGAACGCCATAACCAAGTGGCTGGCATAGTGTACAGAAACATCTGTGCAGAGTATGGGCTGGAAACCCCAACGTCTAAGTGGGAAAATCCTCCAAAGGTGGTGGAGAATGAGCGTGCAAAGATCCTGTGGGACTTCCAGATACAGACCGACCGAATGGTAATGGCGAACCAACGTGACATCGTGGTGGTAGACAAAGGGCAGAGGACAGCCGTGGTGGTGGACGTGGCAATTCCAAGCGATGGTAACATCCGGAAAAAAGAACATGAAAAGCTTGAGAAATACCAAGGTCTCAGAGAGGAGCTGGAGAGGGCCTGGAGGGTAAAGGTGACAGTAGTGCCTGTGGTGATCGGTGCACTCGGGGCAGTGACCCTGAAGCTAGAAGAGTGGTTGCGGCGGATCCCCAGAACAACCTCGGGAATCTCGGTCCAGAAATGTGCAGTGCTAGGAACAGCAAAGATACTGCGCAGAACCCTCAAGCTCCCAGGCCTCCGGTAGAGGACCCAAGCTTAGAGAGGGATAACCGCCCGCGGAGGGCCAAAGGTGAGTGGACAATTTTTTTTAAAAAATATATATATTGGTTCTATCATAGTGTTTATACAGTGTATAAAACCCCCTGTGGTCAGATATACAGGCTTCTATATATATTTGTGTAAATAAAGGGTTCGATCCTATTTTAGTGTATATCTGTTCAGTGTCACTTGTTGCATAATTATCCATACATTTCACCTCAAAGTCAAATGTCCCTAACTTTTGTATGTACACAACATTATGTGTTTTGCAAAAATACCGATCATATATTGCATAATCATATATCTGAATATTATATGACTTTATTACACTGCTCCTCACAGCAGCAGTAGAACGCTCCATTGATTTGAATGTAATTTCAAAACGTTCTACCGGTTATTATTTTTTATAACGGACCTCTCAAAACTGATGTTCAGAATTCCTTGTTCAGTTTTCATGCAGTTCCAGGGAGTTCTAGTTTGGAAGTTGATAGCCTAACTGTTGCTAGCATAGCCACGGGAAAGCCTTTGGGAACTATTTTATTTTCTTTATTATTTTCAATAAACCTTTCGGCATTCCTAAAAGTGGACTGAAGTTTATGTTGTGTGTTCTGTTGATACAAAGCCGTGTAATAAGCGGGATAATGTATATTATGCAGGTCATTATCGGAAAATAAGTACCTTCAGGGCGCGCGTCGGGGTCCGCTGCGCGTTGGGGTCCGCTGCGCGTTGGGGTCCGCTTCGCCCTGTCGGTACTTATTTTCCGATAATGACCTGCGTAATATACGTTATCCCTTACGTCAAACCCACTATGAATAATAATAGACGCCAAACCATGTATCCTGTATCATAGCTACATGTGTGATGTTTACAGTAAAGAAAAAAGTATGAAAATTGGTAAATTATTCAGTGAGTTATGATTGATTAAATGCGTGGACACGTCACTGCGCCTGCTAAACAGATTACACTGAAAGGAGCAGGGGACCGGTCCAAGACGGCCGCGCTACGGCTCGTCGGCGCCAATAGACAGTAGTGGTAGATGCAGCGTCTACTCTTTCTATGTCTCAACAGCTACCTGCAGTGAACTTTTCGTCTGATGCGAAATTTGGCACATTCTTTCTGGGGCACTCCAGGTCAGAATTGCTCAAGAACGGTAGAAGGTAGAAACAAGCCGTTTTTTGCAAATTAAAGCTAAGATCCTAATCTTTATTTCAGACTTTATAAACACTGAGGGCCAAATGAAAGATTAGATTTTGTAGGATTAATACACATTGATAGGTAGTTTTTGTAATTAATTAAAACGATGAGTGTAGTGAACAAGCGTATAAAAAGACATGCTAAGTTATTTCTCATTGCTTTGTGTCACGATAAGTTCTGAAGTATTCACAATTTTCTATGGTAGGCTGTACAGTCTGCCAGGCAGGCCCCAGGCCTATCCATTTATTGTAAAAAATAAGAAATTATCTACATTTAATTTATATTAATGTAAACAAGTAATAGATATTGCATTTTACCTTATTTATAAATATATACTTATACCTACTGTAATATATTAGCCTTTTTATGTGGTCGGTATTGGGGCCCCCAAGGACTATGTTGCCTGGGGCCCCGGGGTACCCTTGGAACGCCTCTGTATTAGACAGTATTAATGTCTCTGACTTCTGACACTGGAATACTTCTACATCAGCTGTTAGAAGTAAGTAGTAGTAAGTAATCTCTATTTATATACCGCCTTTTCACTGCACATCGGAGTCTCAAAGCGGTTTACAATTGTGATTTTTGGGAGTGGGGGGTGCCAGTACAGGTGGCACATGCCAGACCTATTGTACATATTTTTAGTGGTAGGGGAAACCGGAGCACCCGGAGGAAACCTACGCAGACACGGGGAGAACATGCAAACTCCACTCAGAAAGGCCCTGGTCCATCCGGGATTCAAACCCAGGACCTTGTTGCTGAGAGGCGAGAGTGCTATCCACTCAGCCACCGTGCTGCCCAAGAAGTTGAGAACCATTACTGAATGTCTCCCTCTTGTGTTCATGTTGTTTAATACATCTGTCACATACTCCCCCTCAAAATACACTGTAGATGTTGTCCCCAACATCAGCATCCGTAGATCACCAAGTAATTACATCCACATAAGAAAACAAAAAAAAAACACTTCAAAAAATTTTTTTTTAACAGACTGGAACTCGTTTCATACATTCTTTGTGAGTCAAGACTCAACATTGTGTCCACTTCACTTAAACATGCTGTTTGTACTATGTGTAATCTGCAAACAAAAAATACCAACACAATATATTTCTATTTGTTGTATTTGCATGTTCAAAATAAAAGAAGTTATCCCGACATCGATAGTACAGTGTATTTATGCAAATATGCACCCAACTCTTTAAGTAAACAGAAGAATCAACCATGTCTGTAAGACTCTTGAAAATAATAAGGATGTACATCATACAACCATGGCATGTTCTGTTCACCATTATAGTCATAATATTGTGACAAGTCGGTGTACCGAGTCTGTCATAGGTAAATACTCTTGGTTTTCTGTGGTCACGTCTCAGCCGCCCGCATTCATCTGGGACAGTGTAATTGGGAGAAGGTGGCGGGTCAGGCTCCTCCTCAGGCAACACTTCTCCCTGACAGACATCATCTGGTGGCTCTGTCTCCGGAAGTACACCTGCAGGCTGATCTTCCTCATGAAGTACCGACTCTGCAGTCCCCTCCTGCTGTGGCGGGGAATCAGGGCGAGTGTGAAGGTGGCGTGGCACTGGATAATACTCTCCCTCATCGTCATCCTCTTCTGACTCAGTTACCTCTGTTCGAGTCCCTGCTCGTTTTGTTGTCTTTTTCTTTGGCTCCAAAGAAGCTTCTAGCGGCAAGTGGTCACATGGCAGTAGGAGATTTTGATGTAATGTCCTGGACTTGCCATTGCCTCTCTCAAGTTTCAGTTTATAAACAGTTCTTGCCGAACAGTTCGGCTCACTTGCCGAACCACTGTGTGCACAATGTTCTCCCAGTGGCTTCTGAGTTTGCCTGGACCCTCACGTGGAGTCAAGTTCCAGAAAAAGACACGATAATGATAATAATGCATCGGTTTTATAAGGTGCTTTTTTGCTCCGATCATCCGGTAACAAAGAGGAGTACCTCAGTTTACTGCCATATAGTCTCTTACTCCTGGTGGCAGCTTTGTTTGTGTTTTCATGTGTGACCTCATACGCGTCTTTCATACCCTGTCTCTACTTATGCATGTAACTCTGATGGTCACAGTCACTCTCGCCTTGGTTTGAAGTTAAACTAAACAACATGTCTACAGGTGTAGCAGGCCAGTTAAACCCCCCGCCAGAATATACCCGGGTATAAAGTAGCCTAGGCCAGATTATATCCCGGGGTTAAAATAGCCCAGGCCAGAATATACCCCCGGGGTATTAACCAGCCTAGGCCAGATTAACCCCCCCTTTCATTTTATATAATATCAATAAAATACAAGCAATATTTTCTTTATTTCTTACTAAATACATTTAGGAAAATATATGATTTATGAAATAAACTATTCTATATAAAACTATAACAATCTCCTAATACTCCCCTACTGTATTTCACAGTACCATACTGCAATTTGCCCATTTCTTAAAGAATCCTTATACTGAATACAAGTATATTTAAATATAAAAACAATTTACAGAAAAAAAAAGGACTGCACTCTATGCGTACATCACCGGTTTTTTATTTAAAAACAACAGTTGACGCATCAGCAGTGACACCAAGGAAGAGATGTAACTCTTCCATGATCCAATGAGAAGTCAGGAAACACATTGAGCCAAAGAAACTCTTCGACACCGACACCATTGATATGCGCAGTGAAGCAGCGGCTGCAGAGTCCAAGACACTGACACGTTTGTCACGTGACCGGTTGTTTTGATACACGCTCCGATGCAGTGTTTCGAAGCAATTCGCTTCGCAAAGAGCGACACAAGCTCCGGAGCATCGGTGTCATTTGCCCATAGTTAATATCTACTCAAAAGTTCTAAAGGTGCTTTCACATCGCCAACACTGGAAGGCTGACGCCTCGCGCACCAGACGCGATCATTCTCTAATTTTCAGATGCAGGGGTCATCAGACCAGAAGTCCTGGTCAGCGGTGGTGCCCGCCTGAAGTAGCGGAAGTAGCGGGCGGACTTTGATGCTAACTGAGTTAAGCTAGCGGCTTTTTGTGTAAAGTTCTTATCCAATAATGCAGCTCTGCATCTGTGTCCAGAGACCTTCACAGACTTCATATAAAAGCAGTATGTGTTCACGGAGGTGACATTATATAACAGCAGTATGTTTTCAGAGAGGTGACTTTATGTAACAGTAGTATGTGTTCACGGAGGTGACTTTATATAACAGTAGTATGTGTTCACGGAGGTGACTTTATATAACAGTAGTATGTGTTCACGGAGGTGACTTTATATAACAGTAGTATGTGTTCACGGAGGTGACTTTATATAACAGTAATATGTGTTCACGGAGGTGACTTTATATAACAGTAATATGTGTTCACGGAGGTGACTTTATATAACAGTAGTATGTGTTCACGCAGGTGACTTTATATAACAGCTGTATGTGTTCACGGAGGTGACTTTATATAACAGCAGTATGTGTTCACGGAGGTGACTTTATAAAACAGCAGTATGTGTTCACGGAGGTGACTTTATATAACAGTAATATGTGTTCACGGAGGTGACTTTATATAACAGTAGTATGTGTTCACGCAGGTGACTTTATATAACAGCTGTATGTGTTCACGGAGGTGACTTTATATAACAGCAGTATGTGTTTACGGAGGTGACTTTATAAAACAGCAGTATGTGTTCACGGAGGTGACTTTATAAAACAGTAGTATGTGTTCACGGAGGTGACTTTATATAACAGCAGTATGTGTGAAGAAGATGACATAGTCTGGGATCGCGTCTTTAATTCAGACAGAAGACATGTTTTATCGTCGATGGTAGAGACAGCACGAACAAAGCACACGATCACAGATACAATAGAATGCAAGTGTATTATACAGAGCGGAGGCATGGAGACCTCCAATCAGCAGCTGCCACGGTGTGCTTGTAGCTTGGCCTTCAGATAGACACAACAAGGGAAAAGTACTGGCTTCTGCACATTGATAGAATGATGAGTTTAACTTTAACAAAAGTTGCTTCAAAGTGTTATGAAATCTCATATTCCCCCCTCTGGTCATACATTCACGTGTGACCATCAGGATCGATAAACAGCAACATAACATCATAACTCAATACTTCAAAAACTCATAAACTCGGTACTTCACTCGGTACCTCAAAAAACTCAGAACTCGGAATACTGCAAAAACTCATAAAACTCATAAAACATGTTCAGATCTTTCATAAAACTTGTCAACAATCTTCAGTAAAATACCAAACTTCATCAGTCGATGGTTCCAGATATTGCTTTGAAAACAGTCTCTCCCACTTCTCCGTGTTGGATTCTTCAGGCTGCATTTGTGTCGAGCCATGAATTCTTCTGTGACGTGTTATTTCAATCACACGTTTCAGCTTCAGTGTCCAGATTCAGCAATCCAATTCAGTCCAAATTATGTCCAAATTCAGAAATCCAGATTGTTCCAAATTATGTCCATGCAAAAGAGGACGCTGGTCTTGTCCATATCTCAGCAGCTCACAGCCTGACTGGAATCAGCAGGGGCTGTGCAGATTGTCCATGTGCTGGTCCAGATGCATTCTCTTGAGGTTTCTCAGTTTTGGCTTAAAAAAAAAACACTTTTTGTGTAAAAAAAAAAAGTCTTCTGTTCTCTAGATGTTACAGACAAGGCCCGCATCCTTCCACCATCTGAAGAAGATGACATAGTCTGGGATCGCGTCTTTAATTCAGACAGAAGACATGTTTTATCGTCGATGGTAGAGACAGCACGAACAAAGCACACGATCACAGATACAATAGAATGCAAGTGTATTATACAGAGCGGAGGCATGGAGACCTCCAATCAGCAGCTGCCACGGTGTGCTTGTAGCTTGGCCTTCAGATAGACACAACAAGGGAAAAGTACTGGCTTCTGCACATTGATAGAATGATGAGTTTAACTTTAACAAAAGTTGCTTCAAAGTGTTATGAAATCTCATATGTGTTCACGGAGAAGACTTTATATAACAGTAGTATGTGTTCACGGAGGTGACTTTATATAACAGCAGTTTGTGTTCACAGAGGTGACTTTATATAACAGTAGTATGTGTTCACGGAGGTGACTTTATATAACAGCAGTTTGTGTTCACGGAGAAGACTTTATATAACAGTAGTATGTGTTCACGGAGGAGACTATATGATAGCAGTATGTGTTCACGGAGGTGCACCATACGTTTATTTTAGTATTAAACGGTACTTCCGCATCGGCGAACAGGCTCGAAGCAGTTGCATAAAGTCACGGGAGCATGAAAACTCACATGTTAACAGGCACTATGTCCCCCATTGTCAACCCTGGTTTAGTCCTGGTGTAGCACCTGTTTACAGTTTGGTCAGTCTGCTCGCTCAGACTGCTATTGTCCCCGTGACCACTTTGCGGCTCTCTGATTGGTCGCTGCACGAGCGTCCCGAGGAAACGCTCAGCAATATTTATCTCCTGCGTGCGTCAATTTTCCTCCTCTGACGCGCCTTGGCCCCACAGTCCATGCATCTCTACCGCGCAGTCCGTGCGTGCATCCCGAGATGCACATACTGTACATGTCACCATTGACTTTGCATTGAAAGTATGATCCGGTGTGAAAGCACCATAAGAGTTTCATGTGGCAAAATAACGTATTTCTTCATTAGTTCGTGCATACGCAGCGATGGCAGAGAAAAGCGTTTTTGTGGGAACGGGCTCACAGGCAGTGCGCACTGCGCAGAAGGTGCCACAGAGGTCCCACCGTGAGACTCATACGCATCCTTTCTCTCTCATCACTCCGTTGAATTCACAAGATGTCGCTGACGCTTGACCCAGATGAGAGTCACCGCTAAGATATTAATATTCATTCATTTCTAAAGAGATGAGCGCTGCAGTGGGTCTAGACAATATTTCCTTATCGTATATATGATATAGCGTTTTTTTTTTTGACAAAATAATACAATAAAACTCAATATAAACTCAGTGCATGTCACTAATAGGTTGCAGACCAGAGAGAGACCAGAGAAAGAGGCCAGAGAGAGAGAGCTAGAGAGATCTTTGCGAGTTAGGCGCGTTCCGCTAATATTTCAACGACCTTGCCGGCACAATGCGCCACTGAGCACAAACCATTCATTTGAAACCAGCACCATCTTGGATTGCCGGGGCTAGGGAGAAGCTGCGAGGGGTGGCCATACTCATTACCCCCCATCTCGGCTGCCGCGTGTTGGAGTTCTCCCCAGTGAATAAGAGGGTTGCGTCCCACCGCCTCCGGGGGGGGGGGGGGGGCCAAATGGCAGTGCAGAGTACTCAGCCTTCTTGGAGTCCTTGTGAGGGGTACCGGATAGTGCAACTTCAACGCCCATGTTCTGAACCACAGCGGTGTTCAGTTGTTGGACTTCTGTGCTGGTCATAGTTTGTCCATCAAGAACACCATGTTCAAGCACAAGGGTTTCCACCAGTGCATTTAACGGGGGAGATTGACATCCTCAGCCCAAAATCTTCAGACTCTGCCTCCGGGACGTCCTGGCAGAGGCTGAGGATGTTAGGGCGGATATTTCCATCTCCCTGGCTGAGGTCACCAAGGTGGTTGGCAGCCTCCTGGGTGGCAAGGCTCCGAGAGTGGATGAGATGACTAGATAAAGGATGTTGTAAAATAAATCTCTGCAACATCGGTTGGCATTTGGGGACCGTAACGAATGGAGTAGTAGACCGGGATGGTGGTCCCCGTCTACAAGAAGGGGGATCGAAGGGTGTTTTCCAATTATCGTGGAATCACGTGCTTTGTGGATTTAAAGAAGGCGTTCGACCGTGTTCCCCGGGGTGTCCTTTTGGGGGGTTTGGGGGGTGTTAGGGTTTGAGGCATGTCCACTGAATAAGTTTAGTTGAAACTTTTGGAAGTAGTTGGAGCGGGTCAGAACATCTGGAGACCTTTGTAGCATATTTTGCCTCGTTCTCATTACTGTCGGTGTGAAGACATTGTGTACGTGTGAGTGTGTTGCGTACAACGCTTGTTTCTAGATTTTTGCATAATTCTTTTTCTAAAAGATTCTTGTTGGGGTAGTTCTTTTACATAACAGTGGTCCTCCAAGATCCCTTCTTCAAATTTGTGAGGGCACGGTGAAAGCAACGATTTTAGTAGCACCTGTGAAACGAAAATGCGATTCTCGCATCCTTTTTGTCCATAATCAACCAATGTATTTAGAGATGCCGCATTGACATGTACCTTTCTAAGTCAATTGCTAAGCCAATGAAAACAATTCAAAAACATGGTGGAGGAAAATATTATTTAAAAAGGTCACATGTTTTTTTTTTCATTTGGAGAAACTAAAAAAAATACACAGAGTACCTTTTAATATATAAAAAAAAGAAACAAACAACACTCATTGTTCCGTTTTCTTTCAATTTACTTTCTTCCTGTAACTTGGTGACGGTCCCTAAATAAATATGAACGTCTGTCGAAAAAAAAACATCCAAACAAGTTCACCACGGTCCAGACCGCGCCCTCCGTGTGCGCCTCCTCCCTCTGCACTCGTCCCGCTAAAGCTCCACGCCTGTGAGGGACGTCCCCAGACAAGGTACTCCAGTAAAGACAGCCAGCTGCCCATCTCATCTCTCTTTCTCAAACGCATACGGTTTATACAATATCAAGTTTGAAGATGCTCCCTTTTAAGCGAACTTTAGAGCCGGAGAAACGCCAGTTGCAGGAGCTTAACTGCAGACTGGCTCAGTATTTGAACCGGACTAAACAACTGGAGCAAGAAAACGAAAATCTGATAAGAGAAATACACGGACTTAGAAAGGCTCAGACGAGGACAGCGCAAATTGAGCCTGCAAGCAAAGTAGAGATGAGGGATATGAGGCGTGCATTGGAGAATATGTCTTTGGAAAGGTCCCAGGCGCAGATGGACAGGGAGAGGCTGCGGCGGGAGTTGGAGAGCGTGCGCGCCCTTTGCAGCGAGCACACGGGCGTGTGCGAGGACGTGATCGGGGAGCTGCGGGGATGCGAGCAGGAGCTGAACGTGGCGCACAGAATCAACGGGGAGCTGCAGCACAGGCTACGGCAGGTGGAAGGGGAGAGAGCACGTCTGGAGGAGGCGCACATGGGCGCGATACAGCTGCTCCGGTGAGTAGCAGTAGCAGTAGCAGTAGCAGGAGCAGTGAGCTGAGAGACAGTATAGGCCACAATCTATACATAAACGCTACAGATATTCTATATACTGAGGGTGTATCGAGATAAAACTGGTATATTAAACATAGTTTATCACCTATATAATGCAAGAATGTCTCGCGAGGGGGCGAGAAAACACAAGGGGGGACAGCTAACTTTTAGAGTATTTACGCACATTTGTTTTTTTCCATAATTTATCAATTATACAAAGGAAAACATCAGGGGAAAGAAAATACATTTAAAGACAAGTAAGTAGTAAGTAATCTTTATTTATATACCGCCTTTTCACTGCACATCGGAGTCTCAAAGCGGTTTACAATTGTTATTTTTGGGAGTGGGGGTGCCAGTACAGGAGGCACATGTCAGACCTATTGTACATATTTTTAGTGGTATAGGGGAAACCGGAGCACCCGGAGGAAACCTACGCAGACACAGGGAGAACATGCAAACTCCACTCAGAAAGGCCCTGGTCCGACCGGGATTCGAACCCAGGACCTTCTTGCTGAGAGGCGAGAGTGCTATCCACTCAGCCACCGTGCCGCCCGGCAAAGACAAAGATATGGTAATCGTGTTTACAGTTTTCTTTTATTACTTCAGCCAAAGCGTGGCGAAGTGGCACGCTTTCTGCCAAAACAATTTCCAAGTGGTAACTTTGTTTGTTACTTACCTGGCAATAAAAATGATTCTGATTCTGAAAACATACATTATATTACATCTTTGGTATTCCGATGCTTTGGTATGCTGCCTGCCGCTGTATTCTGCTGTTGTACGCTTTGAACGTGAAACAGGAGTCTGTACTGTTTTTCTGCCACCTGCAGTAAAACCACATTGGAATATATCTGTAAGAATAATTTCAATTTATTTTTGTCAGGGCAGTTCTTAGACGGTGGGGCGAAAGTGGCTCAGGTCGTAGAGTTGCCACCCCGCCAATCCAAAAAAGAATCAAAGGGGATAGAAATCATGACACATGACACATAAGACGGAAAACGGTGGGGCTTATCCTCCAAACAAAAATAAAAATAGTTATTACTGAAAACAAACAAAATTTCAATCCCTTGAGAGACTCAGGTCAACAGATTTAATAAAGCAGCAAAGACGTGAAAGGAAGCAATCTGCCTGTATGTCACAGAGGGGAGAACCAGAGCCCAGTCAACATACTGCCCCTGATTGTGTGGTTATGTGAAACACAATTTCGTTTTTATGTTGGATAAAAATGAGAATAAATAATCAATCAATCAATGTGGTGGTGTGAGAGCAGATCTAGAAGTTTCCTTTAAAAAGACAAAAAGGAAAGAGCAGATCTAATTTGATTTGTTCTGGTGTGATATATAAGCTATAGAGGGAGTTTTGAATGACAACCATTATTAAAAATGTGTGCATAAAAAGAGACGCTCACAAAAGCCATATTTGGGTGAAGCCTGTCCAAACTTTCAGACACCTTTGCACCTTCTCTGTCTTTGTTCCTTGCATTATGCCAGTACAGAGTGTAGATATTGTGAATGAAGTCAGAAGTGATTTCTCAGTTAAATGATCATGTTTACATTAGACAATTCTTCATTTTCTTTGTTCACAGGCAACAGGTGGAAACCAGGACAATCTCTCCTTACACAGGCCCCCGTGGCTCCCTGCACCTGCTCGTCACCATGGAAGATGTTCAGGACATTGCCTTTGGACTTTCTGAGGGCTGGGTAAAGACCTTAGATATGTACCAGCTGAAGGTGGATGAGATGGAGCAGGCTATCCAGGAGGACCAGGCCTGCATGTGTGACCTCCAAAGAGAGAAGGTGGCGTACGCAGCCCAGCTGGAAAGTATGCGAGGTCATGTCGAAAGGCAGAGGCAGGAGCAGAGCAGACTGGAGCAACAGCTTGTCAGCATGCAGGAAAAGTTCCACATCGAATGTGAGCAGTATCAGGTAAATTCAGATGATAAATCAGAAGTCATGACAATTCACATTACAATTTGCAGTACAATTTTATATCACTCTTAATATTCAGAATTATGTCTTAATTTTGGCTCTTGAACATGGATCAGGAAAATATTTCCTTTTATTTTAAATGGAAAATCTATCAACATAATAATTCTACCACTGGTGGCAGAAATGGGACATTCAGCTTCTATAATTCTACGCCTAATAAGTTAAATTGATTTCAAATCTTCTCTTGTGGACCCAGAACCCACAGAGGGATCCGTAGTGGGATGGCGCAGAGAGGACTGGGCGGCAGTCAAAGGCGGAGACCTCTGCGACCCAGTCCGCTACACACATCATCTGGCTCTAGACCGTAGAACGTCACGTGGAGGGGGAAGAGCCCGAGCTTGTGGGGGAGGTTGAGAGATAGCGACTAGAGATAGTCGGCCTCACCTCCACACACAGCTTGGGCTGTGGAACCCAACCCAACTCCTTGAGGGGTTGGACGCTCCACTTTTCTGGTGTTTCTCACGGGGAGAGGCGGCGAGCAGGGGTGGCAATACTTATTGTCCTCCATCTCAGCTGCCACGTGTTGAGTTCTCCCCGGTGAATGAGAGGGTTGCGTCCCTCCGCCTTCGGGTGGCGGACAAGTCTGTCACTGTGACGGCCTACGGGCCTAACAGCAGTGCAGAGTACTCGGCCTTCTTGGAGTGCTTGGGAGGGGTACTGGTTGGTTCATTCTATTTTTGTTTCTGACATCCCAAATAAAAAAATGAAATTTGGGGCTTTTTCTGTTTTCTGATTTATGAAGCATATATTGAAAAATAAAGAAATTTCTGTTTTCCATTGAATCACGGCCGTAATATTGGATTTTGCATAATTTTTCTTTAAACTGAATTTTGTGTAAATGTCGCAATATTCAAAATCAAATATTTGTAAAAACCAAAATACATAAAACCATGAATGTTTTGATATTCATTCTATTCCTTCATACTGCCCAGGTCATATTGCCCCGCTGCAGTCCTTCCGATGCATCCTGCACACACAAATACAACAACCCGAGGCAAGCGAGTGCAACACATCCAAATTGTGTGCCACGTAATCCTGGATCTTTCTTGACCAGCTCCAACAAACTTCACTGCAAGGCTGGGTTTACCCTGCTGCAGTTTCCTCACGGTGGTACTCTTCTCCAGACCACGGTCGCCTCCACTTCAGGTCCTCTCGGTGGTGCGGGTGCCACTGCGCCTTATGCACCTTCATTGTTACTGCTCCTCCAGCCCAGGACAGCCTCACAGCGCAGAGTGTCGCACTCAGCCTGTGCACCCCATGCGTCCGGATTTCCCATGGCCATGGCCAGCGCCCCTCTCTCGCTGGCTCACCGAGGCTTCTCCTCTCTCCTGAGGCCTCTCCCCTGAGGCTTCTCCTCTGCCTCTGGGACCATGTCTCCGTTTGTCGGTGTTCATAAACGTGCACAGGTCTCCCAACCGCGCGTTACTGATGCCATCCGATTCATTATTTCCCGGTCCGCTTCTCGACATGAACTTGTTCCGATCCATGTTCTCCGCACCTGTGCAGACCCAGGCCCCATGTCTGTTCTGGGCCGCCCGGTTCCTCTCCCATGTCCCAGTTCTCCCGGGGGTGGGAGGGCGGAAATACAAATTCATTTCGGGGCCATCAAACTGAAAACCCTAAAATGTAATTTTCCTAATCAGATAAGGTCTTCCACCCCAAACTAAGTTTTAGGTGGGAAAAATCAAACTATTTTTAGGAAAGGCGTTTTTCAATTTCTTTTTTCAACAATGAAAATAAGAAAAATTCCCAGTTTGTTTTTCGATGTGCAGGTCAGAAACAAAAATAGAATGAACGGAATGTACACGGACCTGGATGGTGCACCGACCAGGGACTCCATTATTCTCCTGGGGGACTTCAACGCCCATGTGGGAAATGCCAGTGACACTTTGAGAGGGGTGATCGGGAAGAATGGCCCCCTTGATCTGAACCCGAGCGGTTTTCAGTTGTTGGACTTCTGTGCTGGTCATTGTTTGTCCATCAGCATCACCATGTCCGAGCACAAGGGTGTCCACCCAACGTGCACAAGCATGAGTTGGATCCGCTGGCAGAGGAGGAAGCCGGTCAGACTTGGCAGACCCAAGCGCGTAGTGAGTGTCTACTGGGAATGTCTCGCTTGGCCCCCTTCGGGGGTGAAGGGGGACATAGTCTGAGTGGACATGTACTCCACCTCAATCGCTTATCCGGCAGCTCGTAGCTGTGGTTGCAAGGTCTCTGGTGCTACTACTATAGCACCAGATATACTTCATCTCCCTGGCATATGTCACCAAGATGGATGAGATCCATCCTGACTATCTAAAGCAGGGGTCACCAACCTTTTCAAATCCGAGGGCTACCTCAAGTTGACCAAATGACTCGAGGGCAACTATATATTGTTGAATTGAAATTAATTGTGCATTGTGCAATTTTGTCAAAAGTAAAAAATCATACGTACTCCAGTTTTTTTTTATTTTCTTTTAACATTGATTAGGATTAGGAAATTCAACTATTAATATATTAATTTGAGTCTAATACTAGAGGGGGATGTTATTTATACTCTTATTTTATGGTTTTTTATTTTAAGTTTTGTTCTGTCACTTTCCACATGTTCAGTACTTTTGGCCTCTGTCAAATTTTTAGATCAGTTTTTTCAAACTGTCAGTGTTTTAATAAGGTAAAGGTGTTCTGTTGTCTGATTTGTTCACATTAATTTACTTTTGGACACAAAATACATTTTAAGTAAGGTCAAAAGGCTCATTGACTCAGTCCTGGCCCAGTCCTGGTTCAGTCCTGGCCCTCAGTCCTGGCCAGTTCGATCCTGGCTCAGTCCTGGCTCAAAACTGGTTTATTGCAGCTTACAGCGTTATTTTTTAAACTTGAGGAAACCTGGGACTGTTTGGAGTCCATGGAGCATGACTATCGGTTGGCCTCGAAGAGATTTTGGCACCTCAGGAAGGTGAAGCAGTTCTTTGCCAACACCGTGTATGGTGTGGGTGGAGAGCCGCTGACCTCGACTGGGGATATTGTTGGGTGGTGGAAGTAATACTTTAAGGCAGGGGTGCTCACACTTTTTCAGCATGCGAGCTACTTATAAAAGGATCAAGTCCAAATGATCTACCTACTACAAAAATGCAAATCATATATTTCAAAAAATATTCTTTATATCTACAATGTATGTTTATGTACATGCAAAACCGCATGAGCCAATATAGCACAACACAACACAATTACCTATGTACATTTTTTGTCATTACCCGAGTTTACTCTTATGACTTGCACTGAATTGAATCGGCCAGGGATGCATAGTCCGGAAAATTGGTGGTAACTCGCTGACAAGTTTGTCGTGGTTTAGCTTTCCTGAACTGAGCGCGTGTTGTTTGCGCATGTGCAGTCACCTAAGTGTCAGTAAAACATTACTGAGTAAAACACAGATGTCATTTGACTGTGGTGCCATGCCTGTTTTTTAAAATCCAAATATTTCCCCTCCTCCGTTTATAAAATAATTTGCATCCACACATCTGCGTTATCAATCACATTCGTAACATTCCAAACATGTGCGTCTCTTACGTCCTGTCCTGCGTTGGGGAAAAACACAGAAGTGGGCGGAGCTTTGATGCAGACGCCGGTAACGGCACTTTTACAGTCATAGAAGACACTCAGAGTAAAGAGTAAGACGTATGTTTACAAGCACTGACCCCGTCCTCAGTCCTGGTTTAGTCCTGGTTTAGTCCTGGTTTGGTTGTTTTCGAGCGTGAGTCCCCGCGATCACTTTGTTGCTCTCTGATGTGGAGCGAGGATGTTTGCTGCTGCGAGCATCTCACAGCGAACAGTTTTTAAGGTAGTATGATGCTTCAGTGATCAGAGGAATTTAGGGGGGTACTGTGGCGTGCGAGAACGCAAAACTCTGGTTATCTCTGTCTACACATAAATGTATTAACGGAGTTTTCAAAAATCTCCACTTTGCCCGGAGTTTTTTGTATATATTCGTTTAGAATGTGTAATTTTTTATTTATTTAATGCGATCTACCAATACTACCTTTGCGATCGACTGGTAGATCGCGATCGACGTATTGAGCACCCCTGCTTTAAGGTGTTCCTCAATCCCCTCGTCACGTCCTCCATTCCGGAGGCCAAGGCTGAGGATGTTGGTGCGGATTCTTCCATCTCCCTGGCTGAGGTCACCAAGGTTGGCAGCCTCCTTTTGTGGCGCTGCAATGTCTCTGCAACATCGCGTGACTGGAGACTGCCAATGCAGTGGAAGACCGGGGTGGAGGTCCCTCTACAAGAAGGGGGACCGAAGGGTGTGTTCCAATTATCATGGGATCACACTCCTCAGCCTCCCCATTAGGTCTACTCTGAGGTACTGGAGAGGAGACTACGGCCGATGGTCAAATCTGAGATTGAGGAGGAGCAGTGTGGTTTTTTTTTCCCGGCCGCGGAAGACTGGACCATCTCTTCATAAAATACTCAAGGGTTCATGGGAGTTCGCCCAACCTGTCCCCATGTGGCTCAAGCATCTGTTCCAGATGCCTCCTGGACGCCTCTGGGCACGGCCCACCAGGAGGAGACCCCGGGGAAGACCCAGGACACGCTGGAGGGACTATGTTTCTCATCTGGCCTGGGAATGCTTTGGGGTCCCCCAGATGAGCTGGAGAAAGTGTGTGTGGATAGGGAAGTCTGGGCGTCTCTGCTTAGACTGCTGCCCCCACGACCTGGCAAAGGATGAAGCAGATGAAAATAGATGAATGGATGGAGTATACTTTATCCAGATTTTCTGTGCTGCTTTGGCTCATCCGTGAGGCGTTTGCATTGCTCCGGGCCCCTTAGTAGCGGTGTGTTTGCAGCCAGCTCCTGTCATATGTGAGAACATTCGCGGGGTATGAGTGTACACTTCTCACTTGCAGCCCTGAACAACGTCATCTCAAGATAAACAAAGAAAAGTAGAATAGAGGACAAAAAATACCCTGCCAAAAAAGTATTTACTGCTGAAGACAGGTAAAGCTGTGTGTTCAATTTGCGGGGAGCAGACCTTCGTTAAGAAGTACAATGTGGGTCTACATCAGACGAATCAGAGAAATACAAATTAATGATTGTGAAGTGGTGCGAACATCAAGCGCTTTGCTAACTACACTGCAAAAGTAACAAGAGATTCACTAAATGTTAGCATCCAGGTATGCAGAAAGCTAGTCCAGCTTTATGATATTACACGCAATCGCTAAAAACTCTAAACCATTCACAGAGGGGGAGTTTGATCAGCAATGTTTGGTGGACTCTGTTGCTGTAAGTGCCCTGAAAAGGAGCATTTGAGCAAGTCCTGCTGTCAAGGTGACGAGAAAGAACTATTTTTTTCAGTGATCTATAATCAAGTTCAGTGATGTTTAGGGACAATGTGTAGTCATGGTAGCCAAGCCTTGAGGAGACAAATGCATGGACCAATCCAATCCAATCCAGTTTATTTATAAAGCACTAATAAAAACAACATGGTTGACCAGAGTGCTGTACATAAAAAGACATACACAAATATACATTTAAAAAATACAAAACAGTGGCAAAAAACACTATTTACAGCAAAAAATCAATTGAAATCAATTAAAAGCCAATGAGAACAAGTGTGTCTTAAGACGAGACTTAAAAACAGGAAGTGACTCAGACAGTCTCACACACAGGGGCAGCTCATTCCATAGTTTAGGACCAACAACCGAAAAAGCTCGATCTCCTCTGAGTTTCCGTTTAGTCGGAGGAACCCAGAGCAGAGCCTGATCCGCCGACCTAAGCGAACGTGATGGGAGCATAGGACGTCAGTAGGTCAGACAGATAGCGCGGAGCAAGGCCATTCAGGCATTTATAGACAAACAGAAGGACTTTAAAATCAATCCGGTAGCGAACAGGAAGCCAATGAAGTGATGACAGGACCGGAGAGATATGGTCAAACTTCCGAGTTCCTGTTAACAGACGCGCCGCAGCGTTCTGTACCAGCTGCAGACGAGCAAGTGAGGACTGGCTGATCCCTGTGTACAAGGCGTTACAATAGTCCAGCCGAGTTGTAACAAAAGCGTGAATTAAAATTTCAAAATTCTGTCTTGAAAGGGAGGACTTTATTTTAGCAAGTTGCCTTAAATGGAAGAAACTAGACTTCACTACTGCACTTATTTGTTTATCAAATTTAAAATCAGCATCCATTTTCACTCCAAGGTTTGAAACTATGGGCTTAACAAATTGTGTTAGAGGTCCCAGGTCCACGGAGCTACTGCTGCCATTGCTGGGCCCGACCAGCAGAACTTCACTCTTTTTTTCATTGAAATGCAAAAAGTTTGCTGCCATCCACATTTTGATTTCAGATATGCACTCGAGAAGTTGGGTGCTGCAAAAGTTATTGCTACGCTTAAGGGGCACATAGATTTGGCTGTCATCTGCGTACAGGTGGAATGACACCCCAAACCTCCGGAGGATAGTTCCTAATGGCAACAGATATAACAAAAAGAGGAGTGGCCCAAGGATGGACCCTTGCGGCACCCCACACGACAGGGGGGCTGTGGAGGAAACAAAGTCACCAACTCTCACACAGAAACTCCTATCTCTCAGATAAGATTGGAACCATTTTTACCAGTTTTATTGCATCTCTTTTAGGAAGGATATTTCTAAGTTTAGAGATGTTGCACGGTTGTGTTTTGAGTTTAACTGATTATATTGTGTGCTCATCAGATGGTGATATGTGAACTGCAGAGAGAGAGAGAACTCATGGCTCAGAGTCTGGAGAAGAAGATGTCAGAACACCAGCAGCTGCTGCAACTCAGGATGGACCTCAGCCTGGAGCTGGCTGCATACAGGTCTCACTAAAGTCCAACACATGTACAGTACACACAATTTGGTTTCAGAAAAAAATCACTCAACAGAAACAGCACTGTGTTTTTTGTGGAAAAACTAAAAAGTATGTTGGGTAGGTGGTTTGATACAGTTAATCACGTCTGATACTAAATGTCAAACGTGATTTAAAAAACATGAATATTTACTTTTCTGTAAGGAATACTCTTCCCACGCCATCAGAATTTTTTATTAATGGAGAATTGTTCATTGTAGACCTAATATTTAGGTCTTGAGCTTGACAGGACACTGTCTTTTAAAACGCACCATTCTAAAATGATCAAATGCATAACATTTAGTTTGTCACAATTTAGGGTAATCTGTCACAAAATGAGTACAGGTGCAGCAAAGCTCTTTATGCATTCAATGTGTTTTATTCATCAATTCCTTATTATTGCACATACTGGTCATTGGCTCGAGACTCAGCAATGCGACCTCTTATGAGCTTATACAAACAAGCCCTAAAGATTTTAGATTAAAAACCGAGGTCACATCATCATTGCAAAATGGTTGAGTTAAATAAATTATTAACATTTGAGAGTTTGCAAACATTTGTCTTTTGTAAAAGATCTTACTATTTGTGAAAAGGTGTGAGGAGGTTAGAATCAGATCGACCAGAGACTGTCATGTAAACTTTAGGTCATGGGTGTCAAAGTCAAGGTTCGGAGCCTTGACTTGTGTCCTGTGCTGGAGACAATGTGGAAAAATTGGGGACCACACATATTTTTTGATACTGTCCAAAATTACAACCATTTTGGGAGGGAATCAGTGGGGATCTTTCTAAAATACTACACATTCACATAGAATGGGGCCCACTGGCTTTTATCTTTGGAATGCTTTTACCTGATGTACCTGACTGCACTCTAAAAAAAAAAAAATGCATTGGCAAAACTTAATAAAATTGAGGCAACATTTTGCATGTATCTTTTTAAGTTTTGCGAACAAGACTGTTTTTTAAGTATTCTTTGTAAGTCTTTTGTCATTGGTCCAACTCAATGTTTCCAATATCACTAACTTGGATAAATGAGTTATAAAAAGACACTTTTTAAAGTACAGTGCCTTGCGAAAGTATTCGGCCCCCTTGAACCTTTCAACATTTCGCCACATTTCAGGCTTCAAACATAAAGATATAAAAATTTAATTTTTTGTCAAGAATCAACAACAAGTGGGACACAACCGTGAAGTGGAACGAAATTTATTGGATAATTTAAACTTTTTTTACAAATAAAAAACTGAAAAGTGGGGCGTGCAATATTATTCGGCACCCTTGCGCTAATACTTTGTAGCGCCACCTTTTGCTGCAATTACAGCTGCAAGTCGCTTGGGGTATGTCTATCAGTTTTGCACATCGAGAGACTGGAATTCTTGCCCATTCTTCCTTGCAAAACAGCTCGAGCTCAGTGAGGTTGGATGGAGAGCGTTTGTGAACAGCAGTCTTCAGCTCTTTCCACAGATTCTCGATTGGATTCAGGTGTGGACTTTGACTTGGCCATTCTAAGACCTGGATATGTCTATTTGTGAACCATTCCATTGAAGATTTGGATTTATGTTTTGGATCATTGTCCTGTTGGAAGATAAATCTCTGTCCCAGTCTCAGGTCTTTTTGCAGACTCCACAGGTTTTCTTCCAGAATGGTCCTGTATTTGGCTCCATCCATTTGCAGTGGTCTGATACTCCTTCAATTTCAATATAATTGCTTGCACAGTGCTCCTTGAGATGTTTAAAGCTTGGGAAATCTTTTTGTATCCAAATCCGGCTTTAAACTTTAAACACAACAGTATTTCGGACCTGCCTGGTGTGTTCCTTTGTCTTCATGGTTCTCTCTGCGCTTTAAACAGAACCCTGAGACTATCAAAGAGCAGGTGCATTTATACGGAGACTTGATTACACACAGGTGCATTCTATTCATCATCAGTCATTTACATTGGATCATTCAAAGATCCTCACTGAACTTCTGGAGTGAGTTTGCTGCACTGAAAGTAAAGGGGCCGAAAAATATTGCACGCCCCACTTTTCAGTTTTTTATTTGTTAAAAAAAATTATCCAATAAATTTTGTTCCACTTCACGATTGTGTCCCACTTGTTGTTGATTCATGACAAAAATGTTTAATTTTATATCTTTATGTTTGAAGCCTGAAATGTGGCGAAAGGTTCAAGGGGGCACCAAGTGTTTTCGCATCATTTCAACTCAAATTTTCCAATATCACCAACTTGGATAATTGAGTTATAAAAAGACATTTTTTTAAAAGTATATTCAGCAAGTGTTTTAACATCAGTTCAACTCAATTTTAACAAAATCACCAACTTCAATAATTGCATTGAAAGTAAATCTTTTAGAGTATATCCAGTGAGTGATTTTTAATCAGTCTATCACAAATTCATGAATACTGCCAACTTATATATGCATAAGGACACTATTTTAAGTGCAATCAACAAGTCTTTGTTTAGCCCACTTTTTCTTTTTTTTATTTGATAGAAATAATAAAAATAAGAGTCACCAGAGCCAAATTCATAATCCGTTGGCAATAAAAGTCAACTGAATGAATAGCAGAAGTGCTGGAAATGGGACTGGAAATGACCGCACATCAGAGATGCTAATGTTCATAGTGTCACGGCCCCTCCCTGCCTGACAGGGGCGTTTCCCTCTCAGGCAGGGTGGATCCAGTGATTGGGGCACCTGTGCATAAATGTGTGTGTGTCACTAACACTTGCTCTCTGCTCTGCTCTCTCAAGTAACTGCTCCTTGGTACACAAATCTAAAACCAATTCTGACGGAGACTGAACAAAATCATCCAAGACAGACATTTTTAATCAACTTTTCCACCAATATAAGATCACAACTCACCTGCTGCCGGTCTGGGTTTAGATTAGGCAGGTTTAGAGGAGCAGTGTTTTTGCTTCCATTAGTTTGTAGGATTAGCAACTCACATTGGGCTTATGTTCTGGGTTGTGCTTGATTGGAGTCCTCCCCGGGTAGGGTTATCAGCAGGTCTCATTAGGGGGCTTGTGGTGCTTCTGTTTTAGGCGGTGAACGTGGGTAGAGCATCCCTTTCCCCTTTATCGGCTCGGGAGCACCTCCGTAGTTGTGAGGAGGTAGCTTCTACCTCTATTCACACTGCTGGTTTCGAGTGCATAACACCCCATCATAAGAGACCGCAAGAAGACTAGGGTCCAGCTAGTTAGCTTTTTTCCTGAGATAGGGGGATGGATCTCCTAATCTAAACCCAGACCGGCAGCAGGTGAGTTGTGATCTTATATTGGTGGAAAAGTTGATTAAAAATGTCTGTCGTGTAGGGCTGGGCGATTAATCGATTTTAATCATTAATTCAAGTTTTATGTTTAGGGCGATTTTTTTTTTTTTTAAATTTGATTTGAATGATATATTTGCGATGGGCCTTGTTTGTGTGATTTAAGTTATTTTGAAGGTGCATAGTGTCATTGTAAGTGAAGTTATTATAAAACTGTTAAGCTACATTTTCACTGTTTACAATGGCAGAGCCATCTCGCTAACCCTCCAAGGGGATTTAGATTAAACTACATAAAGGAAAATCTATTTCTTTGTCAGTTGTAGTTTGTTTTTAAATAGAAAAAAATCTATTAAAATCGAAAATCGGATTTGGTGTGAAAAAATCGGAGATTTTTTTTTTTTGCCATATCGCCCAGCCCTACTGTCGTGGATGATTTTGTTCAGTCTCCGTCAGAGTTGGTTTTAGATTTGTGTACCAAGGAGCAGTTACTTGAGAGAGCAGAGCAGAGAGCAAGTGTTAGTGACACACACACATTTATGCACAGGTGCCCCAATCACTGGATCCACCCTGCCTGAGAGGGAAACGCCCCTGTCAGGCAGGGAGGGGCCGTGACACTATGAACATTAGCATCTCTGATGTGCAGTCATTTTCAGACGCATACATGTGTACAAATGTGAACTTTACACAGATCTGCCGTTTACAACATTTGGATTGTGTGCACTTTTTCTGAACATTTGCCCAAAAAATATGAATTTTTACAGATCAAAACATTTTGTAAAAATATTTTTAAATATAAAGTGTATACAATATAAATAAAGTGTTTTAGCAGCAAAACGCTCTGAACAAAAAAAAATGAGAGAGCTTTACACATTTGATGACAGCAGCTTGGCTTTGAGTGACATCACTTTGGGGCTGGCTTTTAATCCATCCAATTCAAGCAAGACCTTTTGAAAAAACTCAAAGGTATGTTTGAGTTTTTGTGGGTAGCTAATATTAAGGGCATATATGAGACCCATCAAGACAGTACCTCGTTGCCCTCAATTATTATTGTTGTTGTACTGACTGGATCAGTTCTGATTTTCAGGACAATGGTGTCCTCTCCATTATGCTCGTCCTCATCCTGAAAAAGTAAAGCACAGGAATGTATATTGTTATAAGGAAGTCAATAACTTATTTTCAGAATACAAATCAAATGGCACTACCAAGCAATCCCCAAAAGTGAATGTTTCTTTCAAGATTATTTATATTATCAAACCAGAATAAGGACAATTTAAAAAATGAAAAGCATTGATTTGCCAATGTTTTTTGTTTGAAAAGTGAAAGTTGAGATTAGAGTTACCCACCTGGAGAAGATCGTTCTCCTTTTCGCCAAGATAGACCACCAAGCAGCAATGGGCCATCTCCCTGATCGAGAGAGAGCAAGATGGCGCCGTGTCATGGCGCCGCAGTGAGAGCTCTAGTGTGCACAATCTGTGTTTTGTTGCTGTTTGTCTTTGAGTCACTTGCCACTGTGAAGTGTGACCGAGAGGCGCTTCTTAACATTCGGGACCTTGCGTGTGACGGGTCACTCGTACTACCCGAACTGAGGTACACAAACTTCCTCAAGTGTCCCACTCGAGAGGCCCGTGGAGCACGGCAGGCGGGCCGCGGCGGTGGCCGCCAACAGAGCGAGGGGACCGGGCATCTCCGGCGTTCTCTCCGCGGTGTGGAGCTGGGCACCTCGAGTCG